TAGCCCTAGACTCCCTGCCAAGCAACAAGAGCGATGGGGCCTCCCTGCCCTCGGAGCTAGAAAACAGATGCAAAAGTTCTGCACCTTGGCTTTTCCCTCAAAATGTTCTTCATTCACACGCACCGAACACCCCCCTCCACACACTCCTGCCCCTCCCCACATGACCCCGTTGCCTCCATACAGCAGCTCTGCACCCCCTGCCCCTAACCCCCAGCTACACACCGCTGCTTCTACGTGCATCCTCCAGCCCCCGCATGCCGGTACGGCCCGTGCTGCTGCCCCTGCACAGCAGAGTGGAGGACTCTACCTCTGACCACGACACACCAGTATTCCCAGACACGCACAACTAGTCTGCACACACGAAACCTCTACGTGACTAGTCCCCGACCTGCCGCCCTGCCCAGACAGACCCTTGCACGCACCACACCGTGACCCCAACGCGCGCACACAGCCATCCAGGATAACCGCCCAGCCCAGCACACGCACGCTCCACCAGCAGTCACCCACCGGGGGGAAACACCCCAGAAATGGCTCAAGCCATTTCTCCAGAAGGCTGGGGTCTGCGATCGCCGCTTCTCTGCTTAGCGCTGCAGTGATACGGGCCGTGTGGAAACCCTCGCATCCTAGGCCAGGAAGAGCAGAGAGCTCCTGACGTGGGCAGGTCTCTCTGAGGCAGTGCCCACAAGAAGCAAGTCATGCCCCTATTTCTAAGAGTCCCTGGCCATCCCCTCCTCCCATCGCGTTGCAGGTGCTCTGGTCTTTCACTTGGGTTGTGAGCGACTTGGGTGAGGATTCCCACATCGCACATTGTCACCTTGAACAGCAGGAAAGTACCACGGGCAACTCCAGTGCAACGAAAGAAGACCCTCGGGGGCAGAATCCTCACGAGTCACATGCATCTCACTGCCACTAACAAGTTCCTAAGCTGGGCAATGTCCTTTCAAGTCATAAACTCCTGGCAGAGGCAGCACCTGCAATGGCATCTTGGGATCCATGGGCTCCACCGACTTGACCTTCAAGGTGAACAAGAAGGCTTTATTTTCATTTTTCGAGGAGCTAATGAATCAAAAGAGAAGGAAGAATTCTAAAAAGGCGATGGATTCACCCCGCACGGGTGAGAGCGTGACCACAGAGCCAGGGCACTTTGTGCCCAGAGTTTGTCCAGCATGTCCCAACTACACACTCAGTCCAATAAATGATACCAGCAAATCTCCTCTGGCTCTCCCATATTTCCTGGACCATCGTGGCAACTGCAAGCAATACTCATCTCCCTGCTGCCCACCCACTGCTTCTGCTCCACCTCTCCTTTGTGCCCGAGACTGGGCCACAGCCCTGAGAAGCCCCTTGGACAGTGTTGGGAAGCCCCATGACTGCACAGCCATACACGCCTTAGCGCATGCTATTTTTTCTTGGCCCCACGCTCCTAGACCTACACCCTCCTGGGCTTTCTCTGCTCCTGCCCCACTCTTCCCCGCTCGTTTTCTTTGCAGCCAGGGCCCAAAGAGGCGGCGAGAGGAGAGAAAGCCGATGGCCTCGGGTCCTGGAGCCTGGCTTGCACAGCCAGGAGGAGCAAACCCCAGGGAAGGCCTGCTTTGCCCCAGTTGGGCTCTTGCACGCACCAGGAGCCGTGAGGGGCTGGAGCAGGCTCAGTCTGGATGGAACCGCAGCCAAACTCTTAATGAGGGCAAGCGCATTCTCCAGGGCTCAAAACTCAGCCAAATTTCACATCAGGGCGCCCCCCTTGCCAGATTCGAAGACGCGGCACCAAAGCCTGGAGGCTTTCGAGCTTTCTCAATGAAACGGGTGGGGTCAGCCCAAGGCAGACATCCCACACCAGAAATTTCGGGCCAAATTATTCAAGTTTGGCAAAGTTCTGAGCAATGAAAAACAGAGCCGTGTTGTGCAACATGCCAGGCTTTGTTAGGTCTTGGCAACACAACGGCCTTGCCTGCCGTCACCGCCGTCCCCCGTGAGGCCGGAGGGCAGCAGGAAGGGGAAGGGAGCTTCCCCAGAGATGGAGGGCGAGTCTCACTCCTGTGCCCTTGGCCTCGGGGCGAAGCCAAACTGCTTTGGGCAGCTTCCTTCTGCAGACAGCTTCAGCACAAGCCATCCGCCCGGACGCCGTAGCCTGGTGAGAGCAGGAAAGGAAACGGGCCCTGCAGCGAGACCCGCCTTGCCTGGCGCTGGTGAAGCAGAGGGTGCTCCAGGCAGCGAAAGCCGCAGAGCGACTTTTCCTTAAACTCTTTCTACCAGAAGATGCCTTTGTACGGTATAAAGGTGCCTCGACAAAGCCTTGGCTGGGATCATGTAGCTGGGGCTGGTCCTGCTCTGAGCAGGGGTTGGACCTGATGCGACTCCTGCGGTCCCTTCCACCCTCATTGTCCATGTCCATGCAGGGATTGCTGCTCCACCAGAGAGGACATGCCCACTGCTCTTACCGTACCAAACCAGGGGCAGGGCATGCCTTTTTAATGCTGCCACTGACAAGGCCTAGGCCAGCCGGGGCCTTGGGGTCTTTCCTTTCATGACTGCAATATTTGCTCGGCGCTCTGTTGCAGCCGGCAATGGTTTTCTATCACCTCCCTCTCCTCCTGAGACCTGCCTGCACCTACTTCTTTCTCTGTGGCTTTCCCTACAAGCAAGCGTTCAGGGTTTCCAAAGCCTCTTCCCAAGCAGCAGGAGTTTGGGAGTCAAAAAAGGCTCCAGCTTGCAGACAGAGCGTGGCCTAGCGAGCCAGGTGCCCAGAGAACGGTGCGTCAGCTGGAGCCAGGGCTGCAAACGGCTGAAGTCAACTAGGGGCCCAGGAGGAGACGGAGGTTTTGGGCTGGGCAGCCTGCGGGGCCAGGAGCCCCTTCAGAGCCGCGGTCATGGCTGTTACCTCAACGAGCATTTCTAGCTGGGAGGCATCCTGCCCCGCGGCTGTGCAGGGGCCGGGGGAGGGCAGAAGCGATTCCCCAGCCACACAGAATAAAGGAATCTGCACACCACGAGAGAAATCCTGGGTCTGGTCGAGACCTCAGACACTCGATGGCATCGTGCAAGGGGGGATGTTGTAGGTGTCCGCGCAGCCAGGCTGAACAGGAGGCCACCGCCAGCCGAGAGCAACCAGAAGCAAGCAGAAGGTGGCTTCAAACCAGCGGCGGCAGGGGGACCCGTTAGGAAAAGGGCTTTGGGTTTAAGGTCCGCTCATAGCAAAGGGGGTTCAAGATTCGTTGATGGGTATGGCAAGGGACTTGTGCTGCGGAGAGAAGACAGACAAAGCCCATCCCTGGCACCCGAACCCAGCGCGTGTGCAGAGAGCCATCCTGCGCACCGCCTCTCCGGCCCCCCCAGAAGCCCCTGCCCACCCCCTGAGCCAAGCGCGGTGCAGGTGGGAACCTCCTCGAGAGCCTGCCAGGTGCTTTGACTTTGCAGGCAAGGCAGGTCCCTCTACAGCAGGCGTCCAACCCCCTCCGTCCACCCCAAAAAGACCGAATCCATCACCGAGAGGGGAAATATTTACACAAGTTAGTCTAGCTCCAGTTAAATATTATGCTTAGCTGTCTAGAGTCTGTGTTCCCAGGCCAGTCTATGAAATCAAAGCCTGAACTTCATAACAATTACGAAGCTGCACCGCTCGCAGTCGCAGGGAGTTGGAGCTCATTAACGGTGCGGTATTAAAACGAAGCGACTCTGCTTCCCAGGCGTCCTCGTGCTCCTGCAAACGCCCAGGAAGGGCGAGGAGCTGACCCGGTCCGCAGGTAGCACCTCTGCTCTGCAGGGCCTGTGGAAGACGCTGGCAGTGCCTGCAAGGGCTCGGGGGCGGCCTGGGAAGGCGCTCGGGAGGGAACGGCCCGTCTCTCCCGGGAAGTTTGTTTAGTGGAAAGTAAGCAAGTTGTCAGGGGAGAAGCTGACAGTGTTGATTCCAGCAGTTGTGCCGGGAATAAACAGCCAAGCAGATTATGTTACTGAGAAACGGCTCCGAGGACCCCACTCACGTTCCCGGTGTCGGCCACGCTCTGCGCCGGCCCTGCACCCCGGCCACGCGGCCCCTCCGGGAGGATCCGCGGGGAGCCCACACCCCTGCAGCTGAGCTCCCGGCGCAGAGAAGGGATGCGAGGGGCCGAGCCTCTGGACGACGTGCCGGGGTCGGGCTGGGAAGGCGCCGGGGGCAGAGGCAGTGCCAGGCTCAGCTCCCTTCTCCCTCCCGCTCGGCTGGAGCTCCCCACGCCGTGCGCAGGGTCCGCACGCCCCAAGCCAGGTGCCATCCCCGGGCCCCGCAGAGGGGCATCCATCTCTGCAGCAGCTGCATGGACTCCCCCACCCCTGCAACAGCCACCCTGTGGGGAGCCAGGGCCCCGGCTTGATTTATGAGCCTCTTTGCTCCTCCGTTTATGTAAGTGTGGTTCACGGGGCTGTGGGTGGTACAGAGCAGTTATCAAGGGGCATTGGCGGGGGCTGGCAGCCCAGCCCTCCACCCCTCACTGTCTGGAGACGGACGCCGTTAACGGGTGCCCAGAATGTGGCAGCCCCCGTCCTCCCTCCAGGCTCTGGTCTGTGGATAACACAAACATGGCCAGGATACAGTCTCATCTCAGCCCCGCCTGCACCATTATCTCTTCGCATTTGCTCTTTAATATTTACTGGGTTCATGTAAAGTGCATGGTCTGGAAAAAAAAAAAAAAGAGCTGCAGCTCGAAGGACTCCAAATTTAGCAATTGCGGCAGCTCCCCTCCGGGAACGGCTCGTGGGGGCATCTCTGCAGCGCTGCTCTCCACTGCGGTCCGCTTGGATGGGGCATTTGGAAAAGGCGTCCCCAGCGCCGGGCACCGCGGAGACGCGGCCTGCAGGAGATGCTGGGGCCCTCCACCGCGTCCAGCGGATCCCAGCCAGCCCAGACGCCTGGCAGGAAGGCAGCAGCAGCCGGGCGCGCGCGGGTGCTGGAGTGTCAGCCGGCTCTCGGCTAGCTAGCAAAGGGCGAGCCGCAGCCCCGGGCCCTGGGGCCGGCCTTGCCGCCTTACCTGTTAGCGTGAGGTTGCTGTACGTGTTTGAGAACTGCTCCTTTAACAAAACCAAGTGCATCTGGGCTGCCTTCTCCCTCTGCAGTTCCAGCATAATGTCTGGGTGCTGGGCGATCTTACAGCCTTTCTGCTTATCCAGGGCAATGTCGCTGCGCACAATGTCTAGAGGAAGAAGGAAAGAGAGAGAAAAAAGGGGAAGAGCCAAACCTCAGCTTTCAGTTCCACCCAAAGGGGCCAGATGCTTGAATCGGTCCCAGCCAACGCTCCAGCCAGACAAACTGCACCCAGCCACGCGTGCTTCCAGCCAAGGGTCAGCACCTGCAGGCGCTTCGGCCCCACGCACCGCATCCACTCAAGTCCTGTGTTCATCAGACCTCACGTCTTCCCCTGAATCCCGAGTCACCACCTGAAACACCCCCACCGCCCCGAGGCGCTGACCCCTCCGGCAGCTCATCCCCCTGTGACTGCCTTTCCCTTGCTGGGAAGTCCCCCGGTGCATATACCGAGTCTTCTCACTCCTTTGCTAGGCAATGCTGGAAGTGAGATAAACCCTCCCCGGCATCACTTCCTTGCCTTCCTCTTCTGCGCCCGCACCGGCCACGGGTTTGACTGACAGCTGCTGCTCCAGCACCGTTTCATCCCCCTGGCCACTTCCAAAGCCTGCATGGTCACGTCTGTGGCCCTGGGAATGGCTTCTTCTGCAACCTCCACCCCCGCCCTCCGTCAAAGAAAGCAGATCAGTATTTCCCGGGCAGAGAGAAGTAGGTAGCAGTGCGAGCCTGAAGCCAGGGTACAGATGTGCCTTCTAGGCTAACTGGATCAGAGATGCATAAGTGTAAGCTTTGGTGAGTAAGCACTCACTTCACCACATCATCTCCCACAGCAACTGAAGCGAGCTCTGCAAACGCTTCTGCTGCTCCGACCCAGTGTGTAAGGTGCAGCTCCACCCTGCCTTCTGCCGGTGTTTCACGGGTCATGCCATGGCTTGTGGCACAGCTGTCCCGTGACATCCCCACACAAAACTGCTCCCCTGACTGGGCCACAGGAGAGTGAAGGGAAAGAACAGAGAGAGAAGCAAGGGGTGGCCACCCTGCCTGCTCTGGAGAGGAGGAAACAAGTCTGCCGGGGCCACGCGCTGAGCTGAGCTAAATCTGAGCAGGTGCCTGCTCTCTTCTGGCTGGCACCTCCGTACCCCAGGACAGGTGCCAGCCCTGCTCCCCAGGTGCCCTCCAGTCGCAGGACAGCTGCAGAGATGCATGCTGGAAATACGCCGGCGGCCAGAGCAGAAGGTGCTCCCTCCAGCCTCGCCCTCGCTGCTCAGCCACACGCAGTGTGCAGTGCCCCGGGGGTGGTTTCTGGCGAGGTCCTTGCATGCTGACGTGGCCTACCTATGAACATCCCGGTCTGTCACACATGGCCCTGAAGGCTGGCAGAGCAATCCACACACCCTGGCATATCCATCCTGCCGACGCTGGACCCCCCGGTGCCACACAGAGCTTTCCTGTCAGCTGCAGAAAGGTCGGGGCAGGGGAAGCGGCTGCCTTTGCAACCCCATCGCACCCTAGCCTGGACCAGTCTTCCAAGGGCTCCTGCGAAAGCAACCCTGAAGCTAAGGTGCCCTCTCCTGCATCGAGTATTGATGTGGACACAAAGCAGGGGGTGTTTGATAGTCTTAGCTCAGACGCGTGCTCTCGCCTCAGATATGCAAACCCTGCCCCCAGTCACACAGTCCAGGAGCCTCTTGGGTTTTACTTCTTACCCCAGTTGTACCGGCATCCTCCAGCCCCTCCCCATCCCCATCCCGTCTGGAAGCAATACTCTGACCTGCTTTCCATGCTGCCGTGCAACCCAGCATCCTGCCCTGTAGACCACTCACGCTGTTGGGAAGTGACGCGAGCCGGGACCTCCTCCAGCCTCGGCCTGTCCCACTCCCACTTTGCTCTCTAGCCCCACGACCGCGACGCCGGCAGGGCTGGGCCAGGTTTGTGGGGGCACGGAAGGCTGCAGGGAGCACCCGGGTGCTGGGGAAGTGACGCTGGTTCTTCATTCAGGGTCGGTCTCGACTCCAAGTCAGTGCCGAGCCCTAAGCTGTGGCACGTGCAAACCCAGGAGCTCTCGGGCGATTCTGAATCCAGGGAGGAGTGGGAGCCATTCAGGGAACATGGGCCCTCTCGAGCCGCCTCCTTTATGCAGGCTCCCTCCCAGGCCCCAACCCCGCCGACCCCCCTCCTTCTTGGGCCCCAGCCCTCTGCTCCTGTGATGCCCAAACCCATCTCGCATAGTCAGGAGCAAGAACAGCCGCAGATCCACCACCGACTGCTTTTCGTGCCGGCCCACGGGCTCAGCCCGGCACGCCAGGGGTCTGCCAGGCGGGGGGCATCTCATTCCTGGCCCGGGCACAATGCTCCTGGCTCCGGCGAAGAGCTCGCTGCACAGCGGGAGCGAGACGAGGGCCTGTCCAGCAGCTCTCGCCCTGGGCAGGAGCCGGTGCTGCATCCTCGGACACGGCCTCTCACCTGTCCGGCACG